ACTCCCAGGCTGACATCCCCAGGCTTCTAACAAGCCTCTGACTAAAAAACAACAAATCCTATTTACCTAGAGGGTGCTACACAAAAAAAACAGTGGCAACTAGCAGTTTTAGAAGAAGGCTAGTAATCATGACTCTCATGTTTCCGTAATTCCAGATTCACATTAAAGCTGAACTCCAGGAATAGCAAATATTCCCTAAATACAAGATTTGTGTGTGTTGTACTGGAATGTTGGTGTTCTCGGTTAATTCCTTTCAGATCTGTACAGTAATACAGTGTGAAACTTTACCTCTCTACATGAACTTCCTGTAATAAAGACCGCTCATGCTGCTCTCTCTCCTTGTGCAGGGTGACTGGTCTTGTATCTGCCCCCTCCTGTAGGTTTCTGCAAACAGCCTGTAGTGGGTGGAGCCTGCTGGGTCCCTCCCACAGCTCTGCTCTGTACACAACTTTTATACAGCACAGCAATGATGTCTCTGCTACATTTACCAACTAATATCTGGTTTTGCAAATATGGTGCACACAAGGTGGGATTTATATCCTTTGTGGCCACTTAAATTGATGTTTTCATGCCTGGAGTTCAGCTTTAAGAGAAAGAAATGTCTATGGAGAATAAACCTCTCAGGATTTTCCTTAGATTGCAGGGTTAGGTAGGGATAGCTGGAAGAACAGTACTAGGCTGATATGGGGCTGAAGATGTGAGAAAACACAAAGCTCACAATACCCCAAGCTGATTCAATTCTCGCATTACTCAGAGCTGCAGATGGAAAGTGCAGCGTCATGTTGTGTTCACTGACCAATGAGAAGTCGGTATAATGGTTTTGGGGGGGAAGTCATATATGACTAATATCTAGATCATGCCGTATGATTTTGGGTTCCTCTGAAATATGAATCACAGTCAGCACACACATCATGTCAGCATTATGTACAAGAAACCACTCCACTGATAGCAGACCACCACAGGGCTGAGATTTTGTAGCCTCTGTGCTTTTTGGTCAATATAAAGTTAGAGCCCATTCACACTTATGAGACTTGTCATGCAACTTTGGGGTCCAAAGTCGCATGATAAGCCCCCCCCCATGTTTCACCCACATATCTGTGCGACTTCAAAGTAGTTCCTGCACTAGTTTGGTCCGACTTTCCTGCAACCTGAAGGCCATAGACTTCAATGTAAACCCTCCAAAGTGGCATGGAAGCCGCACCTAAATGTTGTACATGCGACTTTTGTGCGACTTTGTACAGTAGAAACAATTATCCTTGGTCAAAACCAAAGTCGCACTCATCCAAAGTCACGTCAAGTCGCACTGTAAAGTCGCAATGAAAAATGGCAGGATTTTGTAGTCGCACAAGTGTGAATGGACCCAACAGAGCTGCAATGCTGCCAGGGGTGCAGACCCCTGTGTCTGGATGGGACCACCCTGGACACTCCCAACCTAACATAGAGGACTGATGGTCCAGCACAAACCATACAGGGAAAAGAAATATAGGGACTGCCATTGTGGATCTGAAAATGCTAGTTCCCTGGCTTGGTGTTGGGAAGCACACATACAAAGCAATGGGAGTGTCCACAGCTATTCACAGCCGTTTGCATGTAATTGATTGTGCAGCAATTACCTGCAGACGATTTTCTCTGTACACAGACAGTCTGCATCCAGGGCTGATCATCCACAGGTAACTAAAGTTGGCCATACACGTGTAGATTTTCAGACGAGAATATTCATAAGAAAAGTCGTACGAAAATTCTTTGAATATTCTGTGAATGGACAAATATTGTTCTAAAATTGTCTGTTTCTTTTAACAATCAATTTTAAAATGAATGTAATTTCTGAACAATAACCACATACACTTCCCGAAAAGGTTTTCCTTACTGTTCCTTCGAATTTTCCCATCACTGCTGTTGAAAACAAACATCGATTTGACCCCACTAACCATTAGAAAGTCAAATGAATATTCTTGAAACTAAAATTCTTGAGCAAAAATCTATACATGTATGGCCATCAGATCCATTCATTAGTCCTGGTTCACAGATTTGCAGAAACACACTACAGTCCATTTAACATTACTTCCTATGGGTTCACTTTTATGCGGTTTCCACCTATGTGTTTTTTTGGAAAGGTGTAGAGACTTTTTTTTTACAAGCAGCATGGTGTGTTTTTGATTCCATAGCAGTGTTAATTTTGACATCAAATTTCAATTTAGTTTTAGCCATAGTCTTTTGAGTAAAATACCATTTTAGTTTTAGTTATATTTTAGTTATCTGAATTTTTTTAGTTATATTTTAGTTATCTGAATTGCTTTAGTTTTAGTTGTATTTTAGTTATCTGAATTGTTTTAGTTTTAGTTGTATTTTACTATTATTATTATACAGGACTTATATAGCGCCAACAGTTTGCTCAGCACTTTACATAATGGAGGGAGACAATACAGTAACAATACAGTTCAATACAAGAGGGATTAGAGGGCCTGCTCCTTTGAGTTTACAATCTAGGAGGGAGGGGATAGTGGTACAAGAGGTAATTAGCTGTGGGGGATGGAGTGGTAGGAAGAGTAGTGGATTCCAGTATTAGCTGGGGTAGGCTTCCCTGAAGAGATGGGTTTTCAGAGTGCGCCTAAAAGTGAGCAGAGTAGGCGATAGCCTGATAGATTGGGGTAGGGAGTTCCAGAGTATGGGTGAAGCCCTTGAGAAATCCTGGAGACGAGCATGGGAGGAGGAGACAAGGGAGCTAGAGAGTAAGAGGTCTTGCGAGGAGCGGAGAGTACGGTTTGGGTGGTATTCAGAGACAAGATTGGTGATGTAATTTGGGGCAGAGTTATAAATGGCTTTATACGTTATTGTTAGTGTTTTGAATTTTATCCGTTGGGCAACTGGGAGCCAGTGGAGGGATTGGCAGAGAGGGGTGGCAGATACAGAACGGTTGGTAAGGTGGATGATTCTGGCAGCAGCATTCATGATAGACTGAAGAGGGGATAGCCTGCGATGAGGTAGGCTAATGAGGAGGGAGTTACAATAGTCAAGGCGAGAGATAACAAGGGAGTGAATGAGTTGCTTAGTGGTTTCCGAGGTTAGGAACGGGCGTATCTTGGAGATGTTGTGGGGGTGACGTCTACATGAGTTTGTCAGTGATTGGACCTGGGGCTGAAAGGACAGATGGGAGTCTAGGATTACACCTAGTACCCTGGTATGAGGAGTGGGACTGATGATAGTGTTGTTGATCTTGATGGAGAAGTCAGGGGAGGGGGCACGGGCTGGGGGGAATACTAGGAGCTCAGTTTTGGAAAGGCTGAGTTTGAGAAAGTCGAGTGACATCCAGTCCAATGTATGTCACTTAGTAGGCTGGCGATGCGATTGGAGACTGAGGGGGTGAGGCGAGAGGTAGAAAGATAGATTTGTGTGCATTGTGATAGAATTAGAGATGGTAGTTGAAGCCGTGGGAGTTTATCAATTGGCCAAGGGAGGAGGTGTAGATGGAGAAGTGAAGGGGTTCGAGGACAGAACCTTGAGTCATTTTAGTCATTTTAGTCATCTGAATTGTTGTAGTTTTAGTTGTATTTTAGTCATCTGAATTGCTTTAGTTGCATTTTAGTTGACAAAATTAACACTGCTCCATAGACATATATAAATGGCATGTACATACATTTTGGTGTGTTTTCCTGCATGACAACAGATGCCTCCTCCTAGAAACATTACCACATCGCAAAAAATTAAAAACGCATAAAAAACATGCATGAAAAATGCAGAACGTGCCACAAAACGAGCCTCAAAAATGCATCAACTGTACATGCATAGATTTGAGCCGAGCCTTATTCTGTATATAACACAGAGACAATTCTTCGGATTCATTGTAAAACATCATCTGGCTGGTTGCTGTGATTTTAGAAGAAAACCCATCCAGCTTCTTTCAGGTTACCCGCAGATAAGTATGACTGCACTTCCTCACTGGAACACTTTTCAGATGAGTAATTTTGCTCAGCCCAAACTTTCCCTGTAAATATTTGGACTGAATTTCATTTTATCTATGAAAAGTCATACTGCAGGGTGGGGGTTACAAGAATACCAAACGGCCCATGTTACATCCGCCTTCTATTTCATTATTCAGATTTGATCCTAATGGGGAACACTGGCTATGGCGTTCTATTACAAAATGCCTTGGTGAAAAGCCTCCATTAAAAACGACTAGATAGACCACAAAATCCCTCCAGGGCAATGATGAATAGATTTGTGATCACTTCCCTGGACCTAGTAGGCTGCTTGTAGGAGAGACAGAGAGCAGCTTCCATCGACAGCTTCCCACAGATGGATTCCACTCTTGTTCAGCAGTCCCATCCAGGGGCGGACTGAGAACTCATGGGGCCCCCGGGCAATAGGGGATCATGGGGCCCCTGTGTCCTTGCCCAAACTCAAAAAACCCTATGAAAAAGGTACCAGGGGCATCTCATGGGGCCCCCTACTGACCCCGGGCCCTCGGGCACTGCCCAAGTTTTCAAATGGTCAATCCGCCCCTGGTCCCATCTAGATTGGCCCATGTGCTGCTGCTATATGTGAAAATGATGATACGGTCTAGTTTTGATAAAAATGACAATAAGCAATATCTTGATTCTCCCAAAATAATCCATACACATCTACTACCTAATCGATTTTTCATGAAATTGCTTCAATTTTTGTTCTTCTACTAGTTACATCCTCTATGATCAGAACCACTCCTTTTCCCGCTCACTTCTATTTGTTTGGAAGAAACAGTGCACATTTGTTGTGGTCTTGTACACTGCTCCATGCACCATACAAATCCCATAGACCATCTCGGGAGTGAGCAAGAGAGGGTGGCTACGTTCCTGCATACAGTGAGACCATGAAGAATGAACATAGCCGCCCTCTAACAGGAAGTCAGGTCACAGCACCAAAAAAAAATTGGAGACTTAGAGGAGGTTGAGAGCAATAGAAGGGACTTTTCTGAGTTAAGAAAATAGACAAAGTGTTATTAAACCCCGGACCCTGCATTCACTATATCTGTCCTCCCCGGACCCTGCATTCACTATATCTGTCCTCCCCGGACCCTGCATTCACTATATCTGCTCTCCCCGTACCCTGCATTCACTATATCTGCTCTCCCCGGACCCTGCATTCACTATATCTGCTCTCCCAGGACCCTGCATTCAATATATCTGGTCTCCCAGGACCCTGCATTCACTATATCCGGTCTCCCCGGACCCTGCATTTACTATATCTGGTCTCCCCAGACCCTGCATTCACTATATCTGGTCTCCCCAGACCCTGCATTCACTATATCTGGTACACACAACATGGAAGTGCAATTATTTTAGAAAATATAAACTGTTAAATACCTTTTCTCATCAGCAGTTAGAGAGTTAGAGCAGTCTTGTGACTTCAGCAGAGCACTGGTTAAAGCTTTTAGGAGGAGTTTTCATTCTCCCCTGATTGTCCTATGAGGCTGCAGGACCACTGAACCTCTGTCTGGACAGTGCTGATTGGCCCTGTGATGATCACATGCACTTTCACAAGAAAAAAAAAACTCTCCAGCAATACACACCAAACTGAGCATTTGCAGCTCGCCCCCAAGACTCTGTTCTATCAGAGTCTTGGATTGGGGGCAGTAGAAGAAGGGGAGGATCATAGAAGACAGGAACAAACAGCCTTTTTACACAATGCGGAGGATTAACCCCTTAGGTTCCACAGTGAGTATATTAAGCATGCTTTACTGCATTTACAGACTGATTTTAATGTTGTGGGTTTAGTAACACTTTAAGTAGTATTTTTTAAACTGGAGTTTAGTGTATCTTTAATGTCATTGTGCCATCCACACAGCTACTCCAGACTGGGTCACTGGAGCCACATTAGTAAGTGGGGGCCCAGAGCTCTGTCTATGCTGAAAGGGCAGTGTCATTGGACCTGAAGTGGGAGATTTACTATAATTTACTATTGCTTTGGCAATAACACCTGGAAGCTGATTGGTTTCTATGCACAGCTGCACCAGAGTTTTAGTAAATCAACCCCAAAGTGTTGGTCACATTTCTGGATGGAGCGGAATGGAAATGGTGTTTCTTACACAGCCTCTTGTAGTGCAGGATTTTCTACCCCTGACCTTCTGTGGAAACTTTTTGAAGATCCCTTGTATAACTGCTTCTGCACCGCCCTATAGCAGAAATACTGCTACAGGGCGGCAGGGTGCGCAAAATCACATATATATATATAAGTGATTGTACAGTTCCGGGTAGAGGGCATGGATGTGCCACCATTCGCGGCCTCGGCTGTCAATCACCAGGTCTTAGCCTGTGATTCCCCACCGGCACCCGGCGATCTCAGAGGATTTTCGATGGGGGGGAGAGACCTGTATGTAAACAATACAGATATCTCCTCTGTCAGCACCTGCACACTGCATAGCAGAGCCATACAAAGCAGTGGACTCACAGCTGAATGTGCACACACAGCCCACATAGTAAAACAGCACACAGTTAACCTTTTGATCGCCCCACATGTTAACCCCTTCCTGCCCAGTGCCATTAGTACAGTGTCAGTGCTTTTTATTAGCACTGATATCTGTATGGGTGTCACTGGGGATATCAATGACACCAAGTCAGTTCCCTTCAGTGTCAGAATGCCCGCCACAGTCCCGCTATAAGTCACTGATCGCCACCATTACTAGTAAAAAAAGAAAAATTCCAGTATATATATATACCGACATTTGTAAACGTTATAACTTTCATGTAAACCAATTAATTTACACGTATTGGGTTTTTTTAGCAAAGACATGTCGCAGAATACATGTTGGCCTAAATTTATGACGAAATTTGATTTTTTAAATTTTTTTTACATGTTTAATGTAATGTAATGTAGAAATGTCTATGGAGAATAAACATCTCATGATTTTCCTTAGATTTCAGGGTTAGATAGGGATAGCTGGAAGAGCAGTACTAGGCTGACATGGGGCTGAAGATGTGAAAAATCACAAAGCTCACAATACCCCAAGCTGATTCAATTCTCGCATTACTCAGTCTCTTACTTGTCTCCTCCCCCTCCTGTAGTTTTCTACAGGCAATCTGTAGTGGGTTGGGCCTGTTGGGCCCCTCCCACAGCTCTGTTGGGCCCATCCCACAGCTCTCTTATTTACAAAATTTTATAACAGAAACTAAGAAAAAAACTTTTTTATTTTCAAACTTTTCAGTGGTTTTTGGTTTGTTTAGCAAAAAATAAAAAACCCAGAGGTGATTAAATACTACCAAAAGAAAGCTCTGTCTGTCTAAAAAAAATGATTAAAAATTCATATGGGTACAGTGTTGCATGACCGCGCAATTGTAATTCAAAGTGCGACAGCGCTGAAAGCTGAAAATTGGCCTGGGCAGGAAGGGGGTGAAAGTGCCCGGTAGACAAGAGGTTAAACAAGTGTGCAGGTGTTAATGGTGAATGATATATACTGTAAAAATTACAGGAAATGTGATCCAGCTGACTAAAATATTTGAAAGCAGCCAATGTGTGACTAATGTCTGATGAAAACCTGCCAGGTTCCTCTTTTCTAACCAAAAAATTAGAGACTGAAACCGAAAATTAAAAAAAACAAAACCTTTTGTTATAGTGAAATTATAATTTGGGGCAGATTTAAAAAGCAGTGAATAATTGTCCTGCTCATTCACTGGCATATCGGAAGCCCCCAAAAGATGATTTTACTCTACAATGAGGTTGATTTACTAACAATGGAGCATGCAAATCTGGTGCAGCTGTGCAAGGTAACCAACCAGCTTCTAAGGCAGGCCATACATGGGTCAAATTCTGAATGAATACTCTTTAAAAAATCAGAAATTTCATGCATTTTGTAATCCAATGGTGCCACCACTGATCTCAAAATTCAACCAAGCAAGCCTTCAATTTCACTTCAGAAAAGAATTTTCATGGCTAGGAATCTTCCTATCTGTCCAGGTCACAGCTCATGCTCGTTTCTTTTTTCGATTTATATTTCTCACATGATTCTCCCATCAATGATTAGATATTTGTTCATTTTTAAAATGCTCGATAGCTCAAATTCGATGGCTGCAAGAAAAATCAGCCAATGCTGCAGCCCACTAATGGTGTGAAATTCAAACAAAAATTCTTAGTTATGATTTTCGAAAGAAAATTTGTTCAGAATTCGATCCATGTATGATTTGTATTACTCCAGCTTGTTCAATTAGGCTTTGACAATAAAACCTGGAAGTTGATTGGTTTCTATACAGAGCTGCACCAGATTGTGCACTCTCCAGTTTGAATAAATCAACCCCAATGTGTCTTCTGCACTCAGCACTCACACGTTTGGTGTCTGCAAATGAGATCAAAACCAGGTGACTGCATTCAGACTTGGTTTTTTAAATATTCCCCTAAATATTGTCTTTTATTTTTAAACATCTACGCTTAGCTCAGGCATGCAGGCAGGAGGGTGTGCTTAGACTTCTGGGATGTATAACATCATTTTGGCCTAGGCCTGAAACCAGGAAGCAACTGAAGAAATGTTAACAAAAAATAAAAGGTTAAAGTAAATATAATATACCTTCCTATCTATTTACTAATGCTAACAGGATGATGATTAAACATAGTTAATGTTGGTTTTGAATGTGAAGTTCAGCTGTAACCTATGCAATGGGGCAGGGTGCACTACAGGAGTAATGTTTTCTGCTACCCTAGTTTGGGCTTTAAGCTCATTTCCTTTACACACTTAAAACAGAATCTCTTGGCTTCAAAGCTGAATTTAAAGCAGATATGAAAGACACAACTGACTGCCGATTTGTAATTATGAATACATCGTTAAGGTTTTTTTTTTTAATTAAAGCCATGTAAGTACCCCTGAATCTGACCTGGGATCAGTCTCTTGCTGACAGCAGGGCTGGCCCACATGGAAGAAAAATATATTTAGAAATATATTTTACAAATATTCTTCCCAAATATATTGACATATATTTGAAATGCTACAATCTTGGCCATATTCAATATATTTCAAAATATATTTCAATATATATATATATATATATATATATATATTATTTATATATATATATATATATATATATATATATATATATATATACTGTGTGTTGAAATGCGTTTTTATTACAATTAATTTACAAATTTTATGTAACATTTAAAAATATATGTAAAAATTTATGTTCTAATGACTTTTTTAAAAATATATTTTTTTAAATATATTCTTCAGATTTTTTTTAACATATAAAAAAGTAATTTTAACATAGATTTTTACATATATTTGTAAATGCATTCCAAAAATTTAGATTTGCATTTTTAAAGACATACAGTATATTTGAAATTTATTTTTAAAAATATTTTTCAAATATTTTGTAATAAAAACGCATTTCAACATACAGAATATATATATATTTTGAAATATATTTTGAAATATATTGAATATGGCCAGAATTGTAGCATTTCAAATATATGTCAATATAGTTGGATAGAATATTTTTCAAATATTTTTCAAATATTTTGTTCTTCTATATCGGGGAGCATGAGAGGAAGAAACAGAGCAAGAAGCCAATTGGTTCATGCGTTGACAAGTGCATGCTGATAGGGGGAGAAAGCAGAGTGACAGACAAATTTGCCTATTGCTTTACTGTGTCTGCTTTCACTCTCCAGGCAAAGGCTGGAGGGGGGGTCCAGGTAAACTGGGCTCAGAGGATTTGGGTTGAATGATGCTGGCCATCAGACTGAGGACATCTACTGTACTGGAAAGAAAATGTACTGTTGGGGGATGTCTGGATCGAAGCTAAATATTGGAACAAAAGCTGGGTTCACACTAATGTGGTGCGGTATAGCGCATGTGATTCGCACAGGAACCGCACTGCATTCCTGTACAAATCACATGCGATTTGTGAGCGGTGCAGTCAAAGCCATACATTTTGTATGGCTCTAATCGCACGGCACCAGCACCCTTTTTTTGGTCCGCACTAGAATCGGATTGCATGGGTATTCACACCTATGCGATCCGATTCTGCACATCGCACCACATTTTGCGGACCAATTTCGGGGTGTTGTTAACATACACACCTGCATCGGTTTGTATGAACGGGGTGCGATTGTGATGCAGTGCGGAATTCGGAGTTCGGAGCAGCTAGCAGTGACAACAATTGATCTGCTTTACCAAGCTGACATATCAAGTGATCCATTGCTATACAAGTAGAAGAGTTCTTACTTTCCACCGACAGGGACACTTTAATTAGTCCTAAACCTGCCAAGTAAATTGCCATGCAAATGCTGGTTCTACTTTCTGTCTAGATTGTATTCTGGGGGGGGACATAGTGTATTTCGTCTCTCTGATTTGGCACACATGCAGAAGTACCTCTGGCTTGGCCTCCCATTTCCATAGATTTGACTAGCAAAATACTACTGCCTGTAGGACAAGAAGATTCTACACTCAGAGGAGAGGGGCCGTCAGGACTATTTCCTGCGCCATTGTGTCTGCTTCTCATCTGTACATATCTGACTGTGTGTGTGTAATAAAGATGAGATCTGCCCTCTTCGATACTGCTGTGTAGCGCTACCCCCAAAGGGGCCCCTGTAGTTAACAGGTTCTATCCCCATACAGTGCAGAGGCAGCCAGATGCACAGCAACACTTCACTCACTCCAGCTCAATAATCAATCTAGGAAAGGGGTAGGCTACCTTTCAGAGGTTGAGATCTACCTGAGGAACATGGAGGAAATCAAAGATCCCTGGGGAACGTGGGGGGGGGGTGAGGTGGGCTGGGCAGCGCCCTTAAAAAAAAAAAAAAAAAAACCTTAAAAAACTATCAAGCTCCTAATAAAGAGATGGAATAAAGAATACAGTGTATCACAGTAGTTTCCTCTGCCCCCTTCACATCACTCACCCCACAGTAGTGTCCTCTGCCCCCCTTCACATAACCCCCACAGTAGTGTCCTCTGCCCCCCTTCACATCACTCTCCCCACAGTAGTTTCCTCTGCCCCTCTTCACATAACCCCCCACAGTAGTGTCCTCTGCCCCCCTTCACATCACTCTCCCCACAGTAGTATCCTCTTCCCCGCTTCACATAACCCCCCCCACCCCCCCCCGCGCACACACACACATTTACCAGCCCCATCTTTTCCTGAATGAACACAATGAGCGATCGGTACTGATCACATGCTGTATTAATTCATAACTGAAGTATAGTAAACTGAGGGCTTTTTTTGGGGGGGATGTTAGGTTGGCTGTATGGTGCCCCATGGCTTCTAACAGCAGCCCTGAGCCCACTTCCATAACTCAAGAACTGAAGAGTATTAGATATGGACGGTGTGATTCATATGAAGCCTGTTCTGAACAGGGCAGGTTGCTCAATTTTTCTTGGTGTGCTCCAACAAGCAGAATAAACCTCAGTAAATGTTTAGTTCTGTTTTTTCTCCCTTTTATTTAATTTTGTTTTTTCTGTATTTTTGTAATCTTCAAAATTGTATATCATTTTATGCACTGTCCACAATTGGGAAATTAAATCATAAAATTAATAGGTATCTAAATCATAAAAAATAAAAAATACCTTCAGTGTACTAAGCAATGACTCACATTCCTAGAGAGATTATTTTATTGTATTATCAGTGTCTGTATGCTTGGGTTAGAGTGTTACCAAACCCAGGACCCCTGCATTCACTATATCTGCTCTCCCTGGACCCTGCATTCACTATATCTGGTCTCCCCAGACCCTGCATTCACTATATCTGCTCTCCTCTCACCCTGCATTCACTATATCTGCTGCTCTCCTGGACCCTGCATTCACTATATCTGGTCTACCAGGACCCTGCATTCACTATCTCTGCTCTCCCCTCACCCTGCATTCACTATATCTGTTCTCCCTGGACCCTGCATTCACTATATCTGGTCTCCCTGGACCCTGCATTCACTATCTCTGCTCTCCCCTCACCCTGCATTCACTATATCTGCTCTCCCTGGACCCTGCATTCACTATATCTGCTCTCCTCTCACCCTGCATTCACTATATCTGCTCTCCCTGGACCCTGCATTCACTATATCTGGTCTACCAGGACCCTGCATTCACTATCTCTGCTCTCCCCTCACCCTGCATTCACTATATCTGCTCTCCCCAGACTCTGCATCCACTATATCTGGTCTCCCCGGACCCTGCATTCACTATATCTGGTCTCCCCAGACTCTGCATTCACTATATCTGGTCTCCCCTCACCCTGCATTCACTATATCTGGTCTCCCAGGACCCTGCATTCACTATATCTGGTCTCCCTGGACCCTGCATTCACTATATCTGGTCTCCCAGGACCCTGCATTCACTATATCTGCTCTCCCTGGACCCTGCATTCACTATATCTGGTGTCCCCGGACCCTGCATTCACTATATCTGCTCTCCCTGGACCCTGCATTCACTATATCTGGTCTCCCAGGACCCTGCATTCACTATATCTGGTCTCCCAGGACTCTGCATTCATTATATCTGCTCTCCCAGGACCCTGCATTCACTATATCTGGTCTCCCAGGACTCTCCATTCACTATATCTGCTCTCCCCGGACCCTGCATTCACTATATCTGGTAAAAATCTGGTCTCCCTGGACCCTGCATTCACTATATCTGGTCTCCCAGGACCCTGCATTCACTATATCTGGTCTCCCCGGACCCTGCATTCACTATATCTGCTCTCCCTGGACCCTGCATTCACTATATCTGGTCTCCCAGGACCCTGCATTCACTATATCTGGTCTCCCAGGACTCTGCATTCATTATATCTGCTCTCCCAGGACCCTGCATTCACTATATCTGCTCTCCCAGGACTCTGCATTCACTATATCTGCTCTCCCCGGACCCTGCATTCACTATATCTGCTCTCCCCGGACCCTGCATTCACTATATCTGCTCTCCCTGGACCCTGCATTCACTATATCTGGTCTCCCAGGACCCTGCATTCACTATATCTGGTCTCCCAGGACTCTGCATTCATTATATCTGCTCTCCCAGGACCCTGCATTCACTATATCTGCTCTCCCAGGACTCTGCATTCACTATATCTGCTCTCCCCGGACCCTGCATTCACTATATCTGCTCTCCCCGGACCCTGCATTCACTATATCTGCTCTCCCCGGACCCTGCATTCACTATATCTGGTCTCCTCGGACCCTGCATTCACTATATCTGCTCTCCTTGGACCCTGCATTCACTATATCTGCTCTCCCCGGACCCTGCATTCACTATATCTGCTCTCCCCGGACCCTGCATTCACTATATCTGCTCTCCCACGGTACACACAGCATGGAAGTTCAATTATTTTAGTAAATATAAACTGCTAAATACCTTTTCTCATCAGCAGTTAGAGCAGTCTTGTGACTTCAGCAGAGCACTTGATAAAGCTTGTAGGAGAAGTTTTTTTTCAGCTCTAGAAGGATGCAAAACCCCTGACCTCTGTCTGGATAGCGCTGATTGGCCCTGCGCTGATCACATGCACTCTCCCAAGAAAAAAAAAACAAAACCTCTCTAGCAATACACACTAAACTGAGCATGTGCAGAAGGGCTACGGGTTCAGTCTGTCTTATCAGGGTGGACATTTGAACAAGAGGAGGGGCAGAGAAGTCAGGATCAAATGGCCTTTTTACACAATGCAGAGGGTTAACCCCTTAGGGTCCACAGTGAGTATAACACGTACGCTTTACTGCATATACAGACTGATTTTACTGTTGTGGGTTTAGTAACACTTTAAACTTTTTGTTGATCTGTATGCAGTTGCACTTTGGGGTCACCTGGTGTTGACCTCGTTTGCAGACCCCAAACATGTGAATGCTGAGTGCAGAGGACACATTGGGGTTGATTTATTCAATCTAGAGAGTGCAAAATCTGGTGCAATTCTGCATAGAAACCAATCAACTTCCAGGTTTTACTATCCAAAGCTTATTTGAACCAGCTGAAGTTAAGAAGCTAAGTGGCGACCGAGGGCCCGGGGTCAGTAGGGGGCCCCATGAGATGCCCCTGGTACCTTTTTCATAGGCTTTTTTGAGTTTGGGCAAGGACACAGGGGCCCAATGATCCCCTATTGCCCGGGGGCCCCATGAGTTGTCAGTCTGCCCCTGGTGGCGACCATGCACAGCTGCACCAGATTCTGAGTGCACAAGTTTTAGTAAATCCCCCTGTGTGTGGCGTCAGAGTGTAAGCTAGCAGATCTGCTAGACCGAGATGTGTGTGTGGGGTTGCTTAACAGGCCAGTCAGCAGACAAACTGCAAGGTGATGATAACAATCATAAGTCATGGGTCTGGTATGTGGGTGTGTGTGCAGGTGGTGGCAAAAGTGGTTGACACAAGAATTGCAGGGTAGCTTGAGGAATCCCAGAACTGTGTGCTAATTGCTAGACTGCTCTCCAACCTTTAGAGTACATCAGATTGCATGTAAGATCTGTATCTGCCCATTTGTGGCCAGCCAGCTAGATTTGAAAGAAGTGTGCCTCTAGTGGTGACCTGAGGCATTGCGGGTTATGAACACTGGATTACTGCAGGTTTTACCTGCCCAGATCAAGTCCTTCCCTCATTCTCTCCTACACCAAACAAGGTCCTCTCCTTGGTTCACTAATCACTACAGGCTTGCATCCTTTTTTTGTTTTGTAAACAAAACAGCAATTCTTGTTTTTCTTTCAAATCTTTAACCTTATCAAAGCTTTTCAGCTACCTGAAGCACTGTGTCAGTGGCATCCAGACCACCAGGCGCCTGATGGAGGAGCAGCTGCTCTGCGCCCTGGCTGAGCATGACGAGATAGAGCCAGCCCATGCTTTGGCATCACGACACCCCAAAGGGGCAAGTCTTGGCCACCACAGGATTTGGATGGAGAAGATATCCCAGATGACCAGCCTGAAACCCATACTCCATGCTTGCAAGGTGACTTAAAACTGCTGGGTGCAATCGATCCAACCTTATGCATCCCGTTCATTCTGCAGCTCCTACAAGCAGTGGAGAGGCTAGCAGACTGTCAGTAACAAGCAGTGGAGAGACGAGCAGAGAGGCAGCATGAGCTGGGACTAGCTAAGCTGCAGAAGAACAGCCTGCCACTTTTGTGGAGTCTCGGGAATACGAGTGTGTAAAATTCCCCTGGACAAGTTCCAAACTATCAACAAAGATGGCGGTATGATCAGTTTCTTACAGGGATTTGAAAGGTTGTCAGTACTGCCTACCCAAAGAGGAATGAGCATGGTACCTCACATCAGGGTTGAGAACCAAGCACTCTGGACACATTTGGGAGCCTTACAGAGGAGCAAGGAGGGGACTATGGGGCCATTATGTAGACATGGGGCTGTTAGCCAAGCACTCTGGACACATTTGGGAGCCTTACAGAGGAGCAAGGAGGGGACTATGGGGCCATTATGTAGACTATTGGTATACAGTATCACCTCACGTCAGAGGTGTACCGCAAGTGTTTTGGGGACTTACAATGAGGTCCTAAGGTCAGCTACGTACTTACAGTTTGCGCAGTACTTTCCAGCAGTGGCTGAAGGACCTGTTTTTGAGCATCTTTGACACCCTGAAGCAGTTGTTGATTAAGTAACAATTCTTATATATATGACCTATTGAGGTCCAGCAATTTGTACTGGACTGAGATCCCATGACTGCAGATCAAGCAGTGGAAATCGGTCATTCCTATGAGGAATGTCTGACACTTGGAGGACCATTAAGGAAAAGTAGCTGGACTGCCAGAGGACCTGGACCTCCAGGAGCCAAGCCTGCAGATATGGATACCTGGAGATGTTTTGTTTTCAACAAGTCATCTCTGGATGTCCCACCAACCTATGAAGCACAGTGTCTGTTGTCTTGTGGGATTCCAGGAATTCAGATGGTCTCTCAGATAATTTACAGCCTGTCACTGTGGGTGACAAAGTTACCACCAGCCTATTAGACACAGGGGGTGAAGGTGATCTTGCTGCGCCTTTTGCTGTGAGCCCTAAAGAGCTGTTTCCCAGCAAGACCACTGTAAAAGGTGTTGGGGGTGTCAACCCAGTAGTACCATGGGCCTGTGCTAGGCTGGGGAGCTAGGAGAGAACTGAGAGAAGTGTGGATATCACGCCATTCCCAGTAATGTGTGACATGGGGCTGTTAGTAACCCAGTATTAGTCAAATTCAGCCTCTGGAGCCTACATCTTCACCTAGGGACCCATATTCACTTAAGGTACTGTTGGGTGATTCAGTGTTCATGGAGAATACTGGGGAGGGATAGTGGCTGAAAGACTCTATTCCAGGACCTGGCCCTGGTGGGTCTCTAGAGCCAAGGTCTCAAATGGTAAGTAAGGTCAAAATTGACTCTGAAACCAATGATATTGTATGTGATGTACTGTAATGCAGGGCAGACACTCCCTCTGAGTTAAAGGTTCTGTATATAGCCCTACAGAACAGACAGTGCACAGTCCACATGTGTTTAGCTGCTGCTTCTCTGCAAACAGGAAACATGGGCATGGAAAGTAAGAGTTTATCATAGACCACAGCAACAAACTTTTCAACTCTGCCATCTAGTGGTTGATGTAGTTGTTGCACAAAATACATGAACAATGTATTCCAACACCCTTTTCTCAACAACCATTCCTTATGTTGGTCCCATTTCAGATCTCAATAAATCGGTAGCTGTCCATGATTGCATTTCACTAAGAGATGTCATCTCTTCATCAGCAGCTCTGATCCACTTTTGGTTCTGGTGGGTTGAAAGTCTTTGCATCTCATCCCATGAATGTGGCTCTGGTTTTAATGCTACACGAGCATCATAGGGCAGACGTTTGGCTGGGATACCTTTATTGCTTTTGGTGGATTTCCTGATTGAAGTCTCTTATGGCCTGGTTTCTTCTTTTGAAGTACGAGGATTGTCTGCTTTAATTTCTACTTCTGTGTCCCTTTGTTGCTTATCTTCATGTGATACTGATATGGAATTTCCCTCAGTTTGCAGCGTTTGTGTTAGTTCATGAAATTCTGAACACACTGGAGTTTCACAATTACACTTCTACTGATGGTTACCTTATTTGTTTCTTGGTGTAGAATTCTGTATCCCTTTTGAGATTCACTGTACCCCGCCAGTACACCTTCATTTGAGCAGGAATCCCATTTTGTATGTTTCCCTTTTTTGGATGTGCACACAGGCTTTGCTTCCAAAAATGTTTAGATGGTTCAAATTCAGAGCTTTTCTATTTGTCAGTTCATATGGAGTTTTTTTCAGCTGATTTTCCTTTTAGTATATTTTGGAGATAGCATGCGGTCATAATTGCCTCTCCCCAGTATGTGGTTATCATATCTGCATCAAACCGCATGGTTCTTCCACTCCCACATAGAGTATGGTTCATTCTTCTGAAAACCCATTTTGTTCTGTGTTGTATGGTACAGTAGTTTGAAATATTAGGCCATGCTTTCTGAGAATCTGTGTATTATCATATGTATATTCAGTTCCATTGTCTGTGCGCAATACACTCAGCATTTTGCCAGATTTGTGGCTTACTTGAGCCAAATACTGTTCAAGTTTCTCTGGTACTTCTTTTTGTTGTGTAACAGATATAGTGTAGTATACTTGGAGTAATCATCTATAAAAGTAAGAAAATACCTCCTCTTTCCTGGAGTAAATGTTTCCATTGGACCACAAAGATTTGAATGAATGAATGAATGAAGTCCAGAGGTTTCTTAGCTCTACTGTTACACTGCTTTGGAAAGGCTTTTCTTGTCATTTTTCCTTTTATACAGCTGATGCATTTCATTGTTTTCTCACATAGACTAATTTTTATTCCACTTGCATAGTCATTAATGTCTTTATTATGTCAGGACTTCTGTGCCCAAGTTGTCTGTACCAAGTGTAAATGCAGTTTGAATATTTTTCCCCCTTGGAAGTATTAACCACCTCATTGCTGTTCAGCTGATACAGTTCATCTGTAATTTTAGCCTTTGCAAGTAAGATATCCCCTTTGTGACGGCACAACTGTCATCTTGGAAGATTGCCTTGTTTTGTGAGCTTCTTCGCTGACAAAAGATTTCAAGAGCAGGGACATACAAGATTTTAGAAAAAATAATAAACAGCTGAGAAAATGGACTGTATAAGATAGGTAATAAAAATACATACAGGACATTTTTAACACAGGTATCTTTCTGGTGACACTCTGAGAAATAGGACAGTAAAGAAAACTGTCTCCTATTCCTTCTGATTCCATTATTTGCCCATTTGCTGTGCTGATTTTTCTGTTTTACTCTGGTCAAGGTGAATAGACAATTCTGTCATTTGTCATGTGACTTGTATCTCCTGAATCAACACACCATACTGTACTTGCAAAGATGAGGTGCAACTTTTGGATTGAACAATATATTCATTATTTGAAGGAAAATCAGTTTCTTCCTTCACACTTTTGGCCTTTTTTAGTTTGTAGAAAATTATTTTATTTGAAAAATTTTGCACAAGTACAAGAGCCAAAACGTAGGCAACTGTGCATCATAGAGCGCTGCCATAATTAAGGCCACGCGGGGTCATATTAGATACAATACTGAAAACGTATACCTGAGCTGCTTTGTAAATAACAGAGACCAACTATATCAATTAAAGAAAAGTCCCATCCCCCATCCCCCCCCCAACCCCTCTCCCTTCCGACCTCTCCGCCCTAGTAGTGCCAGGAGAAGTAAATGCACTCTAGTAGAGAGTGTCACTTTCCAAAAATAGAAAGACTTGGGAGAAAGTAAAATAAAGGTAATCCCTCCAAGCTCCCATAGCAGAACTAGTATCCAAAATATGAAGTATTCTTGCAGGGCTTAAGGGTAAAAGTGTCTTGGAAGATACCTTGTCAGACTAATCATAGTGGCATTACCCTGCAGTGGAGGAGAAGGAGGAAAGCCACGCCTGCCAGACCTTATCAAATTTCTTTACACAACCCCTGGAAAGATAGATGGCCCTATAGAATGGGATCATGTAGTTCACTAAGCCTTTTCAGGAGGAAACCGTCGGGGCAGAGTTTCTTCCACTGCAAAATAATAGCCTTGCAAACATAAAATAATAAAATGTTAAGTAGGGTTCTATGGGCATTGGTTGGAACCACTGCCTCTACAAGGTCAAGAAGACATACAGAGAATGACATAGGGATAGGGGAGGCAAGAACTTCCACAATGCATTTTGTAACATCCAAAAATCACAAATCAACTGGCAATTCCAGAAAATGTGATCAAAATTGGCAGAATAAACACATCTCCAGCACTATGCTGAAAATTTGGATATATCCCTGCCAATCTAGCTGGGGTAAAATAAATTCTGTAGAGAAATTTGAAGTGAATTGGCCTTTTGTAATTTAGTTTGTTTTTCCATTCTAGCTTTCCAGATTCTGCAATCTGCTTTTTTCTTACACACAAAGCATTCACATGTTTCTTGTTACATGTTACTGTTTTTATTCCTATTTTTCATCTTTAAAGCCAGCTCTGCAGAAGCACTGTCACTATTAATACGCTTATATTCATCCATAAGCTTTCCCTTAACATATTCCAATGTCAATTCATCATCTGAACGTGCATCAAGTGCTGTGACAAGCGTTTCATACCTTTCTGATAAACCACTAAGTAATAGTGCTGCGTCATGAAAATCTGTTAGAATTAATTTTATTTCTTTTCCTATACTGCTCAGGTGTTCAAACATTTCCTTTCATCACCTTGCTTTGGTTTAGCTTTCTAATCAAATACGGTTTATTGCTGTGATTAGCTCTTTCATGCACCTTTTGTAATCCTTCCAACACTTCTTTAGCAGTTTCACACTTGCATATACTGTATGTATAATTTGATCATCTCCTATGTTGAGAGATTGTGCTCTGAGCTTTCTGGTCTTTCTCTATACACTCATTTGAAAGGTGTTCTAACCTGACTTCATAGACTTATATTTCTAGAGAGTTTACTGCATTTTGTTACCAATATCTGTATGCTCGGTCTAAGCTTCTTTTTAATCTGCACCTGCACTGTGTGTGGCAGATTGCATTCAGATTGAGTGTCAGAGCGTAAGCAGACCAGACCAGTCAGTGGACAAACTGCTAGGTGATGGCAAGCTATCATAAGTCATGTGTTTGGTGCGGGATTGTGCGTGGGCAGTGCAAAAAGTGATTAACACAAGGATTCTAACTTACAGAGTAGTTTGAGGAATCCCAACAGTGTGTGCTAACTGCTAGAATGTTCCCCAACCCTCAGACTGCACCAGATTACATGTAGGATTTTCATCTGCCTGTGTGTGGCCAGCCAGCTAGTTTTGGGAGTAGAATTCCTCTAGTGGTGGCCAGAGGTATCGCAGGCTGTGACAACTGGACCACAGCTGGCTTTACTTGTCCAATGCAAATCCTCATTCCCACCTACAGCAAACAAGGTCTTTTCCTTGGTTAGATAGTCGCCACATGCTTGTGTTCTTCACACTCGGCATCATTATACAGAGCACAGTGTTCATTATCAGTGTTCATCATCACTATCAGTGTATAAATATAGACTGTATTGTACATTGCAGCACCCTTATTACCAGTGTACACAGATACTCAGCAGCAGTACACAGTGTGACATGTTTATTAATCGGATACAGGGATCAGCCATACTCAGCAGGCTTAACCTGTATTTTGGCTATATTTATGGACATAAAAAAATGAATTATAAAATCTCACAACCATTTGTGCCTTTTTATGCATGTCATTTCTCTTTACATAGTCTACATACACAAAAATAGCATCCTATATGAATAAAGCACATTTAGTTAGGAATCAGGGCACAAGCAGCAGCCTAAAGTTCTAGTGGCTGGAAACAGTCAGGAATGACAGAATATACAACAACTGACTGATCAGCAATAATTATTTTATCACTCGGTAGAAGGGGATGTACACATTATGTTACAGTAATAAGGAAAAGTTTGAGTATATGCTTGAACATATCATAGTAATGTGACTAACCTGTGCACCCCCAAAACAGCAGGACACATCTGCTTATGTTTCATGAATGAGGGAACTGAAAGGTAAACTATCATTAGAGAAAATATGGAGGTTGTATATGCTGACCTCCTTTTCAAAAATGCTATTATCTCATTCTGCTGACCTGATTCTTTGTCTTCTTTTTGAGTCAAAATCCCAAAACATGTATGGTGACTAGTATAGTCAGAGTTCTTTTCTGCATACTTGTTTTACACCAACTTAAAATCTAGAAGCAGAGTGGTCAGCATGACATCCACTCAACTAGAATTTCAGGAGATAAGCAATGGTAGCCCCATGTGTCTTTCATGAGAGGTTTCCTTGAAACAAGCACATGATTGAATTGGTTTGGTCATGCTGCAATACCAGATTTTATCAGAAGGTGGCTTTAAAAGTAAAATCCTTAATAACAACTCTTGTTTCTATTACACAAATAGAGGACCAGCATCAGAAAGAGCTACTGACTTTATATTTAAACAGGAGAGGTTTAAATATAAGAAGAGTAAAGGTCCAATCAGAGATTTGCATGTATCCCCAGTAGAACCTGTGCAAGATGCTGTCAGTCACTAGGAGATGTAGTGTCTTTATGGCCACACCCCATCAGCCTGTCTAAGCTGCTGATGTGACCGAGAGTGAGGTCCTCTGGTTCTATGTTGTTGCTGGGATTAGCAGTGGGGTAGGAGAAAATAGAGAGTCTTCTAGTTAGAGCATCCTGTGCATCATTTGTAGAAATCTAAACTGAAACGTGTTTATATACACTCTAGGGAGGCTTATAAAACTATCACTTTTAGCAACAGGATCATGTTTGAGTTGGATCCTTGGTGTGCTTTGTTCATTTTAAATGTACATGAATAGTCAGCATATCTGTGTAGTGGTCTGTATGTACTAGCGGCTGAGTATGTTCCTTGCCCAGTGTTTCATTTTTGGATATATTTACAAGATGTAATACAGGCCAAATGTACACATTAATTCACAGGGGTCTGAGGACCAGTAGTGCTGTGAAAATCAAGACAGGAGGCAGCACTGGGCAGCTAGCAGAGTTCTTCAGTCCTGCACTGTTCCCCTTGGGTGGGCCATTGCAGTCATCTGACAAGCAGCATTGAATAGTGGCCCCATTTCCATTCTGAGCTTGATCGCAGAAAGACTTGTAGGAGCAGGACTTTATGACGCTGTCTGAAAAAAAAAACATGAATTATTATGAAACATTGTATTTAACAGTTAAATCTTCCATTCATATTATTAGTTGTGGAGGCAGCAGAGGGACCCTCTGCAGGAGAAACAAGCCCCTTTTCATGTTAAACACTGCCCTGTATTTGTTCTCCCACTCATGGGAAGAACCCAAAAACCAATGTCCATCTCCACTTCAAGACTCCTGGGAGGCAACATTATACCCATGGAAATAGCATTTGTGCAGACTGTGCATGACCTCTTGGAGTTAGGGGCCTTCTTATACTAGATGTGGGTCTGACAAGTATTGAGATCTCCTCTGTCTCACAGAGACCCTGGGCACTGATTGCTTTCACAGCAGCTAAGAAGCCAGAGACATTTAATGCCCCGGCCATGCATTTAGTTTGTATTATCCAAGTGGAAAGAAAGGCTGTTGTCAGGGCTCCGGGGTGTGACCAGAGGTATGTGACTGACGCAGGGAAACGCAGGCTTCAGATAAGTTATAAACAATAAGACAATTTATTAAAGACTAACAATACAAACATAAACGCAGTGCAATACTAAAACATAACACAGTGCAAACGAACCAAACCAAACCACCCACAGATAACAATATATACAATGCAAGCGTCGTCAGGCAGGCCGGGTCAATAACAATTGGGCAGGTAGGAACAGGGGGTCAGGCAGAGAGAATGGTCGGGGTCACAAGCCAGGGATGAAACAGGAGAAGTCAGCAGAGGTCCGGAATCAGGCAGGGTCAGCAACGAATCAGACAGAGACAGGGACAGGAACAGGAATGCAGGAACAAGATACAGGGCCCAGGAAAACCACACACCAAGGCAGAGACTGCAGGTCTGGCCATCCCTTAAATACACCTGCATGATCAGTTTCAGATGTTTGGCTGGCTGCAGGGTTGAGTCTCTGATTGCTGGGAACACCCGCTGGCCAGCCCTGGTACTGCAGCCCACAAGGCAGGTGAGTCCCACCATTACTGGCAAGTCCATTCCTGACAGCTGTTGAATGATCACCTGATCAGAATGTTCTTCCATTTTCTTGTGATGTCACATAGATTGAAAGTAAAGGGGGTGTTGGCTGTCTGATTCCATTTGCTTTATTATGCATCATAAGAGGGTTCAGGGCATCACTACTCATCTTTATCTATCTGTCTGGATACCTAATATGTTTGTACTTGGGTAGCAGTTAAATAGGGGATTCCAAAAATTGTTCACTTACAGAGGCCATTTGGTGGCTCTGTACCTGCAAGCTGTTTCTAAGTCCAACTTCCCATTCCTTGCCATGTCCCACCACTCACTGACCCTCATTTTTTCATATCATTTGTGTCAAAGAGGGGATGGAGAAGACAACATCAGAACATTGTGAAGATTCATTGATAGACCTTCACGTGCTTTGAAGTCACTATGTAACAGACAGTATCCCACCCACCAGCCATGGTGTCCATTCTCTTGACCAAAAATGATGAGGGCAATTCGCCTCTTTGACAGTGGTCAATCGAATAGGTGTTCATACTGAAAGATATAGTATATCCTTACCTCTTGCTCCAATGACAGCTGTAAAATTTTGGATTTTCCATCACTTTCTGTCTTGGTGACAGTGATGGCCAGAACAAAGAGTGCAGGGCAATTCTCTCCAGTGGGGATACAGACAGTAATAGAAATCTCACCGGTTTCTAAAGCCGGCTATAGACACATTAAAATTTGGCTGGTTCAGCAGACTGGCCGATTTTTGATCAGTGTGTAGCTGTTTCCATTTGACAGAGGCCAATTGTTAGATTGACGCCTGTTGAATGAACAATTCCATTTGCTTTATTATGCATCATAAGAGGGTTCAGGGCATCACTACTCATCTTTATCTATCTGTCTGGATACCTAATATGTTTGTACTTGGGTAGCAGTTAAATAGGGGATCCAAAAATTGTTCACATACAGAGGCCATTTGGTGGCTCTGTACTCTGCTTTGTACCTGCAAGCTGTTTCTAAGTCCAACTTCCCATTCCTTGCCATGTCCCACCACTCACTGACCCTCATTTTTTCATATCATTTGTGTCAAAGAGGGGATGGAGAAGACAACATCAGAACATTGTGAAGATTCATTGATAGACCTTCACGTGCTTTGAAGTCACTATGTAACAGACAGTATCCCTCCCGCCAGCGATGGTGTCCATTCTTTTGACCAAAAACTAAAGCTAAACCTTCAGGGTTCCAAGATGTTTAAGTATATGCTGACATGAACTTGGTGTTTGAGAGATAAATTAAGACCTTTGAACTTTTATGAAACCAGGTTTACCTTAGTACTGGTTAAGCTTTCAAATGAATTGGTAGAGTAATGTTATTTAATATTGTAAAACTCTATTACTTACTAACTCATTTCAGCACAGCCAATAAAAATGTCTGAAGATCAAAACCCCAAAGAAGATCGGCTGAAGATGTCAGCCACAGACATAGAACTCATGGACACCGCATCACTGGAGTGGAGGTGAGTATAGTTCCACTTTAAATTGTATATCAAACCACAAGTTTTGTTTTTGCTTTTGGAAGAGATCACAGGAGGTTCTAACCCATCTATACTCTATCCAAAATTAAAAAGAAAGAACTCTGGCTTGACATGCACTTTACAGTGTATATTAAGCCATACAGTACATCTGTCAGATTTTGTATTTATTTATTTTTACTGTCCGTGTTTCATTGAGGAAATTTCCCTTAATTTCCTTCCCCAAAGGTTCAAAGGGAAGTAATACGTAATCTGTTAAAGATGAGGGCAATTCGCCTTTTTGACAGTGGTCAATCGAACAGGTGTTCTGACTGAAAGATATAGTATATCCTTACCTCTTGCTCCAATGACAGCTGTAAAATTTTGGATTTTCCATCACTTTCTGTCTTGGTGACAGTGATGGCCAGAACAAAGAGTGCAGGGCAATTCTCTCCAGTGGGGATACAGACAGTAATAGAAATCTCACCGGTTTCTAAAGCCGGCTATAGACACATTAAAATTTGGCTGGTTCAGCAGACTGGCCAATTTTTGATCAGTGTGTAGCTGTTTCCATTTGACAAAGGCCAATTGTTAGATTGACGCCTGTTGAATGAACAAGTTGGAAAATGTTGTCAATCAGGGGCTGCAGCCATTGATCAGTGTATTCTGACAGAGGAGGGTCCCTGTTGGAATACCGGGGTTGATTTACTAAAGGCATATAGACTGTGCACTCTGCAAGTACAGTAGCTTCAGAGCTTAGTAAATGCAAGGAAAATGAAAAAAAAACAGCACTTTTGCTCGCACATGATTGGATGATGGGAGTCAGCAGAGCTTCTGCTCATTTACTAAGCTCTGGAGCAACTGCTTCTGCAGAGTGCAGCTGCACTTATAAAGTGCACAGTCTATGTGCCTTTCGTAAAGCAACCACACAGTGTTCATGTATTTCAGTACAACTATATCAATATTCAGTAGAGATTATTCTTCAACCAGTAGATGGCAGTGTTTATAAATTTGCAGCTGCATCTATCACTATACTCTATGTCTTCTCCCTGACTGAAGTTCCTGTTTCCTGTTTGTAGAGAAACAGCAGATAAGCACCTTGTTTGTGCTATGTCTGTTCTGTAGGGCTATATACAGTATCTTTAATAGTCCCACTATCAGAATATTATTATTATTATTATACAGTATTTATAAAGCACCAACAGTTCACTCAGCGCTGTACATTACAAAGGGGGACAGAACATGCGACAGTACAGTAACAATACAATGCGATACACAAGGGGTTCGAGGGCCCTGCTCTTTTGAGCTTACAATCTAGGAAGGAGGAAATAGTGGTACAGGAGGAGATAGCTGTGGGGGATGGAGTGGTAGGAAGAGTGGAGGAGGTCAGCAAATTAGCAGGGGGTGGGGTAGGCTTCCCTGAAGAGGTGGGTTTTCAGGGTGCGTCTAAAGGAGAGGAGAGTAGGTGATAGTCTGATGGGTTGGGGCAGGGAGTTCCAGAGGATGGGTGACACCCTGGAGAAATCCTGGAGGCGGGCATGGGAGGAGGAGACCAGGGAGCTAGAGAGAAGGAGGTCTTGTGAGGAGCGGAGTGTGCGTGCTGGGTGGTACTTGGATATTAGGTCGGTGATGTAATTTGGGGCAGCATGGTGGACAGCTTTGTACGTCAGTGTTAGGATTTTGGATTTGATCCGTTGCGCAATCGGAAGCCAGTGGAGGGATTGGCAGAGGGGGGTGGCAGAAATGGGGCGGTTGGTAAGGAGAATGAGTCTGGCTTCAGGATCGACTGAAGTGGGGATACCCAGCGGCGAGGCAGGCCAGTGAGGTGGGAGTTGCAGTAATCGAGGGAGTGGATGAGCTGTTTAGTGGTTTCTGGGGTTAGGACCATGCGGATCTTGGCGATGTTGCAGAGGTGGAGTCTGCATTTAGAGTTTGTTAGTGATTGGACTTGGGGCTAGAAGGATAGGTTGGAGTACAGAATGACACCAAGTACTCTGGCCTGCGGGGCGGGCCTGATAGTGGCATTGTTGGACGTGATGGAGAAGTCAATGGGGGGTGGTGTGGGGCTGCTGGGGGGAAGACTAAGAGCTCGGTTTTGGAGAGGTTCAGTTTAAGGAAGTGGAGCAACATCCAGTCTGATATGTCGTTCAGTAGGTTTGTGACTCAGGCGGAGACTGAGGGGGTGAGGCGAGGGGTTGAGAGATAGATTTGCGTGTCGTCGGCATAGAAGTGGTAGTTGAAGCTGTGATAGTGTATGAGTTGGCCCAAGGAGGAGGTGTAGATGGAGAAGAGAAGGGGCCCGAGGACGGAGCCTTCAGGGACCCCAACAGAGAGGGGGAGTGAGGGGGAGTTGGTAGAATTATAGGTAACGCTGAAAGAGCATTGTGATAGGTAGGATGAGAGCCAGGAGAGAACGGAATCTCTGAAGCCGAGGGAGTGTAGTTTTTTGAGGAGGAGGGGGTGGTCGACTGTGTCGAAGGCCGTGGAGAGGTCAAGGAGTAGGAGCACTGAATAGTGAC